TAGCCTCTCAATTACTGATATATCAAGCATATAAAAATCAGTGCAAGTTTGGTCTAATGGAAAAATATACAGAACTCTGGTCTAGTAAACAGAAACCACACATTCTTCTTAAGCACACATGAAACATTTACAAAGATGGCTCACGTAAAGCAGAACTCAACACATTTCTAAAAATCAGCATTATTCAGATCACATTCTCTAACCATCATCAACCAAGCTAGAGGTCAGCAATAAAAGAATAAATAAGAAATCTCTCATATGCTTGAAAATTTAAAAATTCTAAGTCCCTACTACTCAAACTGTGGTCTGGGGACCATTCTTGGTCCATGAACTCTGACCATGACAATGACAATAGGAGGTACATAGGAAAGGGGGGTATAAATTTAGAAACTTCTATAGTACTTGACATTGTTTTGACACCCAAGCAGCATTTAATTTTTCTAGCAATTCTTTTTTTTGTATTTTATAAAAGTATCAGTCAACAATAGATTAGAAATGTTTAAAAAACAAAAGAAAGTAACAACAAATAAAAATAACCAAATTGGTTCTTTACCACAGAGAGTTTGGGACACACTCTTTAGTAGCTCCTGGATCAAGCAAGAGATCAAAATGGGAATTAAAAAATACTTAGAAGCAGGGCACCTGGGTGGCTCAGTCAGTTAAGCATCCGACTTGTGATTTTGACTCAGGTCATGATCTCATGGGTTGTGAGATGGAGCCGCCCCCTACCCTCCTCATCAGGCTCCTTACTCAGCAGAGAGTCTGGCTGGGACTCTCCCTTTCCCTCTCCCGATGCCCTTCCCCCAATTCATGCATGCACGCACTTGCTCCCTCTCTCAAATAAATAAATAAATCTTCAAAAAAAAATACTTAGAACCAAATGAGAATAAAAAATACATGTTCTTATAGACGTATCTGTTTAGATTATAATTTTTTACTTTTTCCCTGTCTCATCACCAGCCTTTGAGTCCTCTACACTGGGGACCATGCAAGCATCTGTTTTTCCCTCCTTCTTGCCACAGTGCCTGGTTGAGTAGATACTCAATATTTATTTAGATATTGAGTGCCTAAATTTACATATTTAAGCTTAAATAGTAAATACATTTAAATATTTACTTAAATTTTACTCAACTAAAATAGCAGCCCTGGAATCCTGTCTCTATTTATTCCATTCCTACTGTCTTGGCCTCACCCAAGTATCATGGAGATTCACCAGAAATCTGTGCATTACTTGGCTTATTTTCACTGTATCCCAGCAAGCAGTGGCTTATGCAGTCCTGTATCTCCTCATGCATTTAACAACGAAAAGAAAAAGATAAGAGGGGAGTGGAGACAGTCTTTTTATCATCCATACTTGGGAAGAGCTGGTAGTGCCATCCTTGACATGAAGGAGCTACTTAAACACAAATTGGATTAGCAGGACAGGATTAGAGCCTGCTGGAAGGTATTATACACTTATAAACTGCTCTGGAAACTACTATTGTTTTCATTACAAGCCCATACTCCACAGTGTCAATCAAATGAAATATTGAATTAGTCTACTAATAAAAAAGAAATAAAATGAGATACAAAATGAAGCAACTTTAGTTTTACTAGTACCAAGGAAGTTGATTAGACAATAATAGTTCAGTTTAGCAAAACTTTAATTAGAACATCTGAAATGAGTTTTAATATGGATTTCTTCTTAAGAAATAAACTCCTTAAAAGTGGTCTCTACTCCATTTTGTTCATCAAGGAGACTAATAATCCAATAAGAAATATGATGAAAAGGTGACTTCAACAAAGAAAAAAAGAATATATGTGCAATATGTGAGAAGTTTCAGATGTATCTGGACATTTCAAAGGAACTGAAGTCCCTAGGTCTAAATAGATTACAATCCCAGGACACTAAAAGAATCTGCAGAGGTGAACACAGAGCTCCCATCAGTAATCTTTGAGAAACCATGAGTACACAAAGGTGACAAAAGTTAAAGAGAAGCCAAGGTACAAACTTGCCAAGAAAGGGGGAAATATTTAGTTATGGGATTATGCAGACAGGTGAACTTGACTGAGGCTGATTCCTGGCAAAAATTCTAGGAGATTCAAATCTTGGTTCTATATTTAATGGCACTGTGACCTTGGACACATCTCAAAACTGCTGTGAGTATTAAATGAGATAATATATAAAAAGCATTTAATACAGCACCTCCTACATAGAAAACTCTTGGTAAATGGTAGCTGTTACTATTTTTCTTTCTTTTTAAATTTATTTTTTAAAAGATTTTATTTATTTACTTGACAGAGAGAGGCACAGAGAGAGACGGAACACAAGCAGGGGGAGTGGGAGAAGGAGAAGCAGGCTTCCCACCAAGCAGGGAGCCTGATGCGGCGCTTGATCCCAGAACCCTGGGATCATGACCTGAGCCAAAGGCAGACGCTTAACGACTGAGCCACCCAGGCGCCCCCTGTTACTATTTTTCTATCTCCAGCACTTCAAAATGAAGATGTGAATAACTAGGTACTGATATGGGTTCTTCAAGATCAAGTCTCATCTGCTTAACCTCGTTTTTCTAGCAAGGTCTAAGTGCGGGGGGAGAAGGTATTTCTAGGCAGGTAAATTAGGATGATATCTTTATCTTGAAATGGCATTAGATAAAAATCTGTTGTAATATCCTTATGAAAACATTGGATTTTAGGAGCGTTAGGTGACTGAATAACCATACTCACAGTATTGATTCACGAAATTGAGCTCTCCATGCCTCGGCTTCTCTATCTGTAGAAACAGTGTAATAGTAGTACCTCACTGGGTTGTTATGCAAATTAAAGCCCTTAGAACAGTGCCTGGCATTTAGTCACCACTATACAAATATAACATGAACAGAAGCTTCTAGTTGCATGCTTGTGCATTACTTGGCTCCAACCTCTTCCAACATTTCCATCAGAAACTTGTTAAATTTTCATATGATATGCTGGCCAAATTCTCAAATGCTATAAATGATGAATGATGAAATCAAAATCCAAAAAGACCTTGATAGGTAAGGGCTATGAAATAAAATATATGAGATAAAATTAAGTACTGGATAGAGATTTTAAGAAAAATTTTTTTACAGGCCCAGCAATTAATGGAAAGTTTAACTGCATTAAGAGAACTGGAGTGTCCTGATGAAGACACTGTCTCGATATAAATGCAAAGATGGTGGGCACAGCTGGCCCATCATGAATTCTTCCTTCCCCTTCACTTCCTTAGCTTCCTCGTAAGTAGAGGCTCTGGGTAGAAGGATGAGCTTGAGAACACAGATGAGCAGTAAGGAAATGTGAGGCGAGAATGGACCATATTTCCAACTTATCTGGGTGGTAGGAAACATCGCCTGGTGGATATGGGAAGATAGCCTCAAGATTTGTGAAGAAATATAATTAGAAGTTTATCAGGGTACCTAATGGCTCACTGTGCTACATGCTAAAATAAATTCCCCTCTAATCATGATTACTACAGGATTTATCTATTTCCTATAGGAAATCAAGCTACTCCTAGGCATTTTATCAAACTTTTTCCTCATAATAATCCCTGTCCCTGACAAAAGAAGATTTTGTCATCCCACAGTACAGATAAGAAATTGAGGCAAAGAAGTAAAGTGAATTGCCCTGGGTCACAAAGAACTGAAATTACAATTTAGAATCTAATCTTAGAGTACACTACATGAGTTTTGGAAGGGAGCATACTGGAAGCACATTATCCTTCAAGAAAAGGCCTATTTACCTTAATCTCTGGGAAAAAGAAGATTAATTGTATTTTCCTTGGGACATGCCAAAGATGTCGAGGAGACGCTTTAGATTCCACATGCTTATTCTAATCCTTTTCCAAATACTTGGAAAGTCTTGATTTGACCATTCGGAAGATGCTGGAAGTTAACTTTTTCTTTTTTAATTAAGGCAAATATTTGTTTGCTAGACTCTCCAAGGAAAGCAATTAATCAAGAAAGCTGTACAGTACAGCCATGCTATTTCAGATCACTTAAGAGAAGGAAGTGTCCAGATAGGCATAAATCCACATGGGGTCAGCTCCCTCTGTCCCCCAGCCCTACGATCTGTTCCCAGACAACCTCACTGTCTAGGTAGTAGATAGAGAAAGGTCAAGTAAAAACATGTTTCTAACTTACAAAGTTCCATGCAAACATAAATTATTGTTATAATGATTTACACCTAATTACTGAACAAATACATCTTCATTATAAAAACCTGGAAAATGAAGTTAACCAAACCAAATGAAACAAAAAGCACCCATTATGCCACCACCCAGTAAGAACCTCTTGTGCCTGTTTGCAATGGGATATTTTTTAAGGGTCAGTTCTCTGGTCAGGCCATGAGGAAATCAGCCAAAAGCTGCAACCCTAAGGTTCTGCAGGTAGTTTCCCTTAAACTAAGTAAGAAAAATGGTCACTTATTTTTAGAAATCTATCTTTTATTTTCTTGGCACTTGTTCCAGAAGAGATAAGACCATTTCTCTATATTAAAAAGAAATAAATTCCTGGGGTGCCTGGGTAGCTCAGTCAGTTGAGCGTCTGACTCTTGGCTTCAGCTCAGGTCTTGATCTCAGGGTCATGAGTTGAAGTCCTGCATTGGGCTCCAGCATGGAGCCTACTTAAAAAAAGAAATAAATTCCTAGTTGCATCTTACTGGTCTAAAAAATTTACACCACAATTCTCGGATTAACTCATTTAACCAAACTGGTAAATTGCATAGCCAAAATGGATTGAGTGTCTATCTCTTTATTAATATATACACATAGTCACATATACTGAAGGTCATGATTTTAAGTATATTTTTGTTGGGTTCTTCCTTTCTCTTGGAGAAAAGAGACACACACATTCGGAACTCATAGGAAGGCTGGGTCAAGAATATATTAGTAATCAGTAAAAGGTGACTATGGTGGAGTCTTTTCAACTAGTGAACAATGTTACCAAGACAGCACCAAATATCAATCCATTTCTTTTTCCCATCCTAAGGAAAAATCATGCTATTACCTTTTTGTTCATAGCCACACCATCCTCACAGTCGAGCACTGCACAATCTACATTCAGGGAGGGAATCTTCTTTATTTTCTTTTCATCATTTCCAGGTACATAGAGCACTGCCCTCCGGGGAATGTACCTATGATTGGATGAGGAACTATATCCAAGCCTGGGCACATCAGCTGCCAGAAATGGTTTCCTGCAGGAGACATAATTGGGGTTAGTCTAGAATAGAATCTATTTATAAATTTTTGAAAAACCTTATTTTAATACAAAATTAAAATAGAAAACATGATAATCTATTTTAATTTCAGCAGATCACAATCACATATAACAACTAGAAAAACAACAATAACAGAAATAACCAAGAAACAAAACGTCATTTTGGCTGAAGTTTAAAAAAATATATAGCACTGTTTATTGAGATGACCTTCAGACAAAAGAAGGAGTGTGTACCTATTTCATCTTGGAAAAACACTTCCAGTATTAATATATTATCCAGATAGTATCTATGGACAAAAAGAAATTTATATCCAGAAGGTCCTAAATAACTATCTACAATTATATGAAAATAGAAGCAGAAAATAAACAACTTATATAAGCATTAGTCTATGGCCCTCTCCCTGCCAATGAGTCTCAAGTAGGCAAATAAGTGATTCGAATTCAATTTTATCAACAGACAAGGATGGTTGGCTACTTTGTAAGTGAGCAGAAAGAATACGAATGGGAAAAGATCACTACTAGCTCTGGAATCGTGAACAACCTCATTACCGAAAACTTCAGATCCCTCATCGATAAAAATAATACTAATTTTGCAGGTTGTTGAGAGGGTTCAGTAAAAGAAAAGAAGGCACATGAAGTGCTCAGTGAGAGCCTGGCAGATGTGGTGGTTGGTGTACCAGGAGTACAGACTGCTGTTATTCTTAGTGGAGAAACTAGTTTTAATAGCCCCTGCCTTTTTCTGACCCCTGCTCTCTCTTTCCATTCCCTCCTGGACTCAGTTTAGCCTCCTGTGGAAGTAAGAGGAGTTGGTCAGAAGCTTGTTTGGCTCATTACGGCCCTCGCTCCTAACCTGGTCCATAATTTGGTGCTGGGAAAACTATGGTTTAGCCCACAATATACGGTAAAGGAGGGTGAGATCAGGACCAGCTACATAATTTGTGGGCCCAGAGTAAAATATATAGACCCTTGTTCAAAATTTATTAGGAATTTAAAAATGGTGACAGAAGAACATCAAACCAAGCACCAGACCCTTCTAAGCACAGAGCCATGTGTGACAGTCCAGGTCACGTATCTATGAAGCCAGCCCTCGCATAACAGACAAACCATATGTCATGAAGAGACCAGTTAAGGAAAGGTTAAAGCTGTGGCAAGTCAGAAACACCCTAATGTTTTACTCTGCCCTGAGTAAACAACATCATCCTTTACAAAAATATATCAGCTGCACTTTTCATGAAAGCCCTTTTTGGAAGTTATCCTACATTAATGCCATCAAATATTTTGCACAGTTGTAACATTTTGCCATGAACAGTATGCCTTGTGACAATGAATCTCAAGAAAAATGATTCACTCTTTGGTGGCCTACCAATTTTGTGTGTGGCCCCTCATTCCTTCCTGTAGCCAACCTTAATACACTATAAAACTTGAGTCTGAGTCTTATTTTTCCACACTATAAGCATTGTGCTATATGAGGTATGGTGAGCTGCAGATAGATTTTAAAAGTGTACATGTCTGGGGGCACCTAGGTGGCTCAGCTGGTTGGGCATCTAACTCTTGGTTTTGGCTCAGGCCATGATCTCAGGGTTGTGAGACTGAGCCCCAAGTTGTGCTCCATGCTCAGTGGGAAGTCTGCTTGGGATTCTCTCTCTCCCAATCCCTCTGCCCCTCCTGCACGCCCTCTCTCTCTCTCTCTGAAATAAGTAAAATCTTAAAAAAAGTATACATGTTATATAAGACATTTTAATATAAAATATATTATGAAAAAATATATATTATGACCAGCTAAGTGAAGAATAACTGAAATATCTGTCATTGTTTTGCATTGACTGAAAATATCTGGTTTATCTTTAAAAAGGAAGAAAATACAATGATTAACAGCAACAATCACATTTTACTTATTCACACTGGAAACCAAAATTTGTAACATATTCACTTCCTTAAAATTGGTAAAAATGCAATTAAAAGAGATGAAATCTTATTTACCAGGAAATGCTTGGGGTAATTACTTTTCATCAGAATTTGTTGTAACTGTACGTGTAAAACCCAAAGAGAGGATTGAGAACAGCTCTAGTGGAAAGACCTTACTATACCTCTCACTTCACCTGAGAGAGTAAGTATCTGGACATCTCTGTTCACTGGCATCTGACCTTCACTTCATGAAAACTGAGATTTCCTCCATGTGAAATAGCTTCTGACCACCATTTTGGATCCAGCCACTGTGGTCTCCAAGCTACACTATTTGAATCTCAAGCTTGAGCTCCCAGACATAGCTCATGTTGTAAATTATACCACTATCATATGCTAAGCACTAGAGCAAATCATTCCTAGCACATTTATATGAAGTATAACTTTAAGACAGATGATCACTTTAAAAAAATCTGCCACTGTTAATAATGTTTCTGGTTTCCCAGTCTTCTACAATCATTAAAACATTATTTTGCTCATATCTTTCCCTGCTCAAAATCTGTCAACGGCTCACTACCTATAGGATTAAGTTCACTCTCAGCTGATAATTCCTTTTCTCAATTTATATCCCATTATTCCCATTCAGTAAGTATCTACCTTAGGAAACTTAGATTTTGACCATCTCTACTACATGCCATAGTCATTGTTTCCAGAGTACCTTTGCTTCTGCTGTGCTTCTGATGGAAAATTCTTCCCTCTCAGTTTACTAGAACATTATGGATCCTTCAAGTTCAGTTCAAGTTCCACCTGAATCTTGAGACTTTCTTGACTATTCTTTAAATTTGCTCTTTAAACTCTTATAGCATTTATTACTCACAACCAAACCAGAACCAGCCAAGAACTGCTATCAAGGATAAAGTTCTGCTATCAAGGCTAAAGTTAATCAAGGTGGCAGAAGCGTTCTGGAAAGGCAACTGATAATACAAATCAAAAGACTTAAAAAGTTTCCTACTTTTTGACCCAGTAATTTCAAGTTATTTGACAAAATTCCTTTTGGAAATTGTTATAGACTGAATGTTTGTGTCTTCCTAAAATTTATATGTTGAAACATAATCCCCAGTGTATTTGGAGGTGGGGCCTTTGCAAGGTGATTAAGTCTTGAGGAGTTTGCCCTTAGAAAAAAGGCCTCAGAGAGCTCCCTGCCCCCTTATGCCATGTGAGGACATGGTGAAAAGACTGACATCTACAACCAGAAAGTGAGTCCTCATCAGACACCAAATCTTTTGGAGCCTTGATCTTGGACTTCCCAGCCTCCTGAACTGTGAGAAATAAATTTCTGTTGTTTACAGGTCACCCAGTCTATGGTATTCTGCTATAGCAGCTGAAACAAACTAATACACAGGAATCTATCTTAAGAAAATAATTGGAAATAAGACTAGGTATGTATAATATTAAGAAACTGAAAACAACTTTCAGGGGTCCAACGGTAGGATGAATTATAGTATATTCAAGGAATATGATGATATTGTTAAGAATTATGTTTATAAAAATATTTAATGTTAAGATAATTACTGTTATTTTTAAACAGAGGATATAACATTATATATGCAATACCTCATACCTCAACTTTGTAAAAAATGCAAGGGAAAATATATGAAAGGAAATACACCAAAATGTTACTAAGGATGCCCCTGAACTGTAGAATTTGGGATTAAGATTTTTCTGCTTCTGCACACTTTTTCCTATTTTGCATATTTACTAGAAAAAGCGTCACTCTTTTTAAAAAAAATCCTTTTTTAAAAGTTTTATTTATTTAAGTAATCTTTACACCCAATGTGGGGCTCAAACTCACAACCCCAAGATCAAGAGTCACATGCTCTTCTGACTGAGCCAGCCAGGAGCTCCTTAAAAAGAATTTCTTTTATAACTGGCTTAAAACAAGTCAATAAAACCATTCAAAAGGTCTCAAATGGCAGCATAACATAGTAGAAAGTATTAAGATGGACTATATGCAATTTGGGATATCTGACCATTTTTGACCTACGAAAATGGTAATTTTATATGGTTCAACCCAATACCATGATTGGCATTCAGAAGATGGGATGAGAAGCAAGCGGCCCTGTCATTCTAAGTGTTAATTTCCTCTTTGGTGAGAAGCAACCTATAGCCACCTCATACAGGAAGTTACCAAAAGCAGTAAAGCACATGCACTTAGTTACTATGATTATCTGAAACTTGTCCCCCAACTGTGACGCTAGTCAGCACAGCCTTGCATCAGGAATCTTGTCTCCAGCCCCTCAACTAGATCTTGAGCCCTCTGAGGAAGGGGAAGGCCTATGTCTCCATACTGTTCAGCACAGGGCCTCATACATAAGAGGTACAGAATTCCTGTTACCTTATCACCTAAAAAAGCCAGCGATGCAGAGGTGGGTAAAAAGGACGGATCTGCAACCACACTGTCCTTATTCTTCTTGTGAAGAGTCAAGTTTAGTGGTGATTATAGGCAGGAGGTCATTTTTATTCCCTCTCTCCTTTGCCATCCTGGAAACTTTAATCTGACCCACAGTCTGTTGCTTCTTCTTCATGTTTATCCCCTCCTTTCCGTAAACATAGTGATTACATCCTAGTTTATTTAGGGCCTCATTAACCTAGACCTAGATGACTATGGAAGCCTCTTATTGATCCTGCCTTCCACTATGTTCTTTCTCATTAGTTCGTTTGTTCATTCATTCACTCATTCAGCAAGCACTAAGTAAGCACCTACTAAGAGACCTACATTGGGTCTCCACTAGCACATGTCAGGTCCTTTTGTGCAAATAAGAAAAAAGGGCCCCCTCACACCTTCCAGCAGGTAGAAGGGCAAAAAGACACATCCTACTCCTGAGGCAGCATGCTTTGGTGAGTGGAGATGAGCTAAAGTTCAGCCCCGACACGTGCCTCTCTGCAGGCGCCCCTGATCAGGGCATACCCCATGCAACTGTATGCAGTGGCCCTGACCCACATTGTGCTGAGCGCTGTGGGGAGGTGGCACAAAAGAAACAGGACATGCCCAGAAGGTCCAGGGAAGAACACTCA